TTTCTACCGCTTCCGCTCCACTCTGCTACAAGGTGCATAGTTTACTGTAACATCTCTGTACTAGTGCTATTATTATAGGCCTGTTAGAGCATTGCAGTAAACAAAATTAGAAGTGTGGGTTAGATAACAATTTTTTTACAATGTGAGGTCTATCTTGGCGTATTTAGCTGGGTAGGCAAGCTTATATAAGAGGGTCGGGTCATGTGAGCACTCCGCTAGAGGTATAAAGGTACGTACGTACCTTACTGTTACCATACCTCCATAGTAGCCTAGGCTGGTCAGAAGTACCAGTGGTCTTAAATCACCATACCAACGCCCAGATCCACGTCTAGCAGTCAAACTTAAATAGTAAGGAAGTGGAAAGCCAGAAAGGGATTCAAGTTGAATGGAAATGGAAACGTGAAGTAGTGGGCAAAGTGGGGGTTGTGCTCGACGACGCAGCATGCGCTGCAGTAGACAGTTTAAAAAACCAACAAGGAAGACCAGCCCAGGTTCTGAGGCTGAATTGTCGAAGGTGCCTTACTAGCTGATTGGAAGCTAACTCGTCGGTTAGGTGGATTCACTTCGCCAGCCAACCAACTCTCACAGTCCCTCTGAGAGTCGGTTTTTTTTTTACCTGTAACGCTTCATGCTCTGTAACGATTTGAGATATCTCAACCCACATTCAAAATTTCTATACCAAACCTCATTTCTGATACTTCCTGGCGTTTCTCTTTCAAGGGAAGGTTTTTGCATTGAATTTGCTTAGGGCTGCCCGAGAAAAAGGATTCAAGAGGTTGAGGAGGGCGTCGGCTGAAACCCTAACCCTGCCCAAATATTGCCTGCAAATTCTCCGAAATCCAAGGGCTGAATATTAGATAGCAACGGCCATCGAGCTTTCCATCCTCAGATTGAAGCTTCAAAAAATTTCAATATTGCTTCTTATATTCGTATCTTTGATTTGGTCCATTTTGGTCCAGTTGTCACTTGATGTGGTTGAGCAATTGTGGTTGAAGCTTCAAAACTGTTACAGAGCTTGAGCGTTACAGGTAAAAAAACCGACTCTCAGGGGGACTATGAGAGTTGGTTGGCTAGCGAAGCGAATCCACCTAACCGACGAGTACCGTTCAATTGTGCATCGACGATTCGATATTGGAACACTGCATTCCTGTTTTTGTGGGATCACGGTTTCGAAACAATTGTTGACACCATCACATGGACAAGATTCGATCCAGTTCGAAGCTAAAAAGTGAAGAGAACCTTGTTAAAAGGTTACACGCGGCTTGTCTCGCGGCGAAGGGTGCTTGTGCGTCGGGCATCCGATGACCGCTGCCCTTTTTAATTCACCTCACAGCGATAAGGAGGAACACCGTCGGGAACCTCGTACAAAGGACGCTAAGAACCGGGCAAATCTAAATTTTCCTTCTCTTTGATGATTCTTGGCTAACAAACTTTTAATTGCCTTGTCAAGGCTTGTCTCTTATCAAACCCTTACCAAACCCATATGGAGACCGAACACTCAGCCCTTCGCCGAAACGACTCACCAAACAAGAATTCGGGCAAGGAAGGATCATTGCACTTTTGCCCCGTGAACTTCAACCCTTCCCGTGGGACGAAACACACCAAAAAAAGGTCTCCACGGAACCACGGCCTTGTGTGGAGGTAACGAACAGACACCTCCCACTCTTTTTTCAAAACTAGCGCCGTGTCCTCGACCCTTCCTTTCCATCTTCCCACCTTTCAACATCCTACCCCCGACAACCTCATTTTAGCGGTTCCGTGTTCAACGTATCCGACTTCGACTAGCCTGCGCTACGGGGTACAAACGCCGCGATTCCAGTTAACCCCTTCTCCGTCCCCGCTGTTAGCACCCCCCCGACGACAGGTGATGCGCAGACATATGCTCGTCATTCCCCAGCAACGTCATCTACTAGGGCTCTGTTAGGACCTTTGTCTTTCCGCCACTCCTATTCCTTCTTTAGATTTTTCAACGATTTTAAAAGGGCGGATCCTCGACCTCATTGACCTTCGGCCGATCCAAATCCCCAGCCCTGCGCGCAAACTTGTCAACACTACCGTCGTCGGACCTCGATTCATCCGACAAAAATTTTGGTTGCTGCTGAGAAACACCTCACATCAACCCTTGCCCATCACGTCACGCACCGACGACGACGCCGCCGCCAGTCATTCCAGCAAAAGCCATCAAGTTGGCGGGCTCTATCCGTGAAAGCGCTTCGTCCGTTCGTTCGCTCCTAGGTCCCAGCTTCTGGGTCTATAGTGGAGTGAACAAGAAACCCCCTTAATTGGACATCGCTCGAACTAGCAGTCCAACTTTCGAACAAACATCCACGATTTACGCTCTCCGATTTTGCGCGTTGGTAGCCGACGTCGACGACGACGCCCTTCTGTCCCCCTTTTTGTTGCGCCATTCGGTTATTGTCGCGGACGGCTGCTGGCCGTTCGCTGCCATCCGCTGGTGCCTTTCGAGTCGACCTTTCGACGACAATATGCGAACCGACTGATTGCCCCCAGATCCTGGGCGTTGAGGGCCATTGCCGACCCTTCAATTATTTTCATCAAAAAGATATAGTATATACAACCGATATTACAACTAATTCGAACCCTCACCCAACCACGAAGCGAGTCCAACTATCGCAACCATGTCTGACCAGGAGGAAAACGTTGGGAACTCCGGGTACTCGACCCCGGTACCCGAACTTGACGACCACCGCAACCAGTCTGTCTCTGTCCAACGACCTGATCGTCCTCGGCGCGGAACATTCGATTCCCTCTACGGCCCAGGACAAGTCATTGAGACAGGCCCATCCCATGGCGACTCGTACCAGGGCACAAGGGTCCGAGATTTTGAGGAAGCTGTTGTCGATGAGGAGGATCAGGAGCACTCGCCAGTCTACAGGAGAGACCGCCGAGGAACCGTGGAATCTCAGGTAGACGTCCGGTCTATCTCACCCCCGAACTCGGTCAAGGCGTTTGCGGAAGCGCGCCGAAGAGAGCGTGACCTCTCCTTCTCTGAACCGACAAGACCCGAGCGTCGAGTTGAAGAACCACCCGAGTTGCAGCGGACTGCCTCTGTCGTCAGTCGCCATAGCTACCGCAGCAAGCAGCCGACCGTGATTGATGACACTGCCAGCTTGGCCACCAACAAGTCCGCGGAGGAAGACGTCTGCTTCCCCTTGCAAGATGATCATAGGGATGACAACTTGCATATCGATTTCCACTACCTGGAGACCTTTATCAAGGCCGAGAATGAAGCTCGCCAGTCAGCCCGTCGCCCATCCGCCATCCGTGTTTTCCCCGATTTACGGCCCGCCGAACCGGATATCACCCCCACCGTGCCAATGGTGACATTGGATGGGGATATCCTTTCAGCCCCTCCCGAGACAGATATCCGGCGGGAGAAGAGCCATGAGTCAGACGATGACTCGGAGGCCAAAAAGGCTGTACAACCACCACAGCCTCCGATCGACCAGAGCCGAGTTAGCTTCTTTTCGTCAGCATGGGAATCTACGATCCACGCTGCCGATTTGGAGGGTTTGATCTTGCCCGGGGAAGATATCAGAGGGCTCTTCAGTTTTCCGAAGGGGGAGACCGATGGAGTCTGGTGGCTCAACATGAACAACCCCTCCGAAGAGGAGGTTCGTGCCGTCTGCAGAGCTTTCGGTATCCATCCCTTGACTATTGAGGATATCACTACTCAAGAATCGCGGGAGAAAATTGAGCTTTTCCCGTCATACTACTTCGCCTCGTTCCGATCATTCTTTATCGAAGTTGAGGAGCCAACCGGGGAGAAAGAGTACATGCCTTTCAACATCTATGTGGTAGTGTTCCGCGAAGGCACGCTGAGTTTCAGCTACGCTACCAACTCCCATGCCCAGCATGTGAGGAAGAGAATCACGATGTTGAAGGACTATGTCTCACTGAGTAGCGACTGGATCTGCTACGCCCTGATGTAAGTTTATGGAAATTAGCAGATGCACTCTCTCGGTATTACTCTCTAGGATGCTCATACTGACCCGTATCTAGTGACGACATTGTCGATTCGTTTGCTCCCGAGATCAGCAAACTCGAGAAAGAAACCGATCAGATCGAAGACGACGTGTTTATTGCTCGATCAGACGATATGGCCGAGTTTCTCAAGAAGATTGGCATTGCGCGCAAGAACGTCATGGGCTTGATGCGCTTGCTCGGCGGAAAAGCGGATGTCCTCAAGGGCTTCACCAAGCGTTGCAACGAAAACTACAAGGTCACGCCGCGTATGGACATCGGTCTATACCTCGGTGATATTCAGGACCACGTGGTAACCATGATGACCAACCTGGGCCACTTCGAAAAAATGCTGTCTCGGGCGCACAGCAACTACCTCGCTCAAATTTCTATCGACGGCATCACCCAGGGAACTGCTACGAACCGCGTCCTCAGCAAGATTACTCTGCTGGCCTCCATCATCGTCCCGCTTAACGTGGTGACTGGCCTGTTCGGCATGAACGTTTCAGTTCCATGGCAAGATGTTAAGAGCTTGGTTCCTTTTTTCTGTATTCTGGCCTCTTTGCTTTCGTTCTGTATCCTCTCATACCTTTTTGCGAGGAAGAAGAGGTGGGTATAAGTTTCAAGGCACCGTTCAGGTAGTCTTTTATGCGAGGAAAAAAAGGGAGGAACTGGTTTGTTTTTGGTTCCCTATTTTCTTTGGTATACAGGGAAAAGCTGCCAAGCAATGGTCGAATTAAGATGGACTGTAATATCATGGGGAGTATGGCGACATTTCATGTCTCGAAAAGAAACGATTACGCATCTCTTTGTACAACATTCCTTTTTTGACGGGATAGACCATAGATGCGTTTCTAGATACCCAAGGAAATTTTCTTATGGAGTTGGTTCAGGTTATGTCTCCAGTGTCGCAAGACAGTAATGGATGGTTTATAAACTTGGGGTTGTTGTGCGGCAACTGTGATTTCTGGATATCGCATTAATCGCCCTAGAAGGAAAAGACAGCTTATGTTTTTGGATAGAGTGTAATAAGTTCAGAGTTTCGAAGACGAAGAAGCCTGGTGGTTGCAAAAGTGAAGTGATGTAAACTGCAGTTGCTCACAAAGCGCATCGACAAGATCCCGTCCTCTCATTGGCTCCTCACATCGAGCGAAAAGAAATCTTTATCCACACCCCCGGTCGCGGTGCTCGCCTGCCCCTGGCAGGCAGGTACCGCCCAAAAGCTTCCGCAGAGAGCTCCATCCGGCAACCAATCTAATTGCACGCTACGTCGATATCGAACCTCTTCGGGTTGTTTATCCAATTCTTGATATCGAACAATTATTTCCACTACATCACCACCCTTCCAACACTGCATATTACAACCACCGTACCAACCGACCACCAACAAACAAACTACCGACACAATGGATATTCCTCAGGCCGACCTCGATCTCCTCAACGAGAAGGACAAGGCTGAGCTTCGCACCTTCATTTCCAACGAGACGCAGCGCCAGAGGATTCAAGGACGTATGTACACTCCCGTCCAACATATTTCTTCCCCAGACCTCGTCCTTTACTCCAGTTCAACTGAAGCTTGTTGTTGTCCCTCTATCAACGAGTCCAAACCTACCTACCTACTACAGTTCCCTCTTCCCTCCATCCATCCGTCCCACCCTATGCCCTCCCTGTCTAACCACCTACGAGTCACTTAACTAACGACCCCTCTCTCTTCCCACTACCTAGAAACCCACGCCCTCACCGACTCCTGCTGGAAGAAGTGCATCACCTCCAACATCAAGACCAACCAGCTCGACAAGTCCGAGGCCGCCTGCATGTCCGACTGCGTCGAGCGCTTCCTCGATGTCAACTTCGCCATCATGAACCACGTGCAGAAGCTCACCAGGGGCGGCAAGTAGATCGAAGCCGCCAACCGGAAGGAGACGTGGGAGGAGGCGTATGCGCTGTGGAGGGAACAGGAGGAGAAGAGGAAGAGAGATGAAGAGTTTCCGGCGGGGAATTGAGCGGGGGCTGGCTGGCTGGCTGGCTGAATTCGTCAGTCTTGCTTGCTTGCTTGCTTGGTAGGCTGGGTGGCGAGGCTTGGGGGAAGAAACGGCCGAGATATCCGACGGGAATTTCTACGGTGGCTTGGTTCGGTTTGGTTTGGTACACTCGGGTTTGCTGAGAGGTTTAGGGAAAAACAAGCATTTGCTACCTAGGGAACTTTGAATCCCCTTGCGGCAGGGCTTGCGAGTATGGCTTGTGTCACAGTTCTAAGAGACAGTCCATACGAGGAATTTGTTGCGACAAGTCACGCCTGAAGGCTTGTACGATTATGTGTGCTGGGGCAAAACAAAGGTCGTCAAAAGTAGAACTGGAAGGAAAAAGAATCACAGGGCACGGGGATGGGGATAGTTCAGAAACTTGGACAATAGAGCAAGCGGTTCTTGTAGCATGATAGGGAGCGCAGGACGATGGTACATGGCGAAATGTTCATCTCTCTACACAGACCCGAGAATTAGGATTGGTTGATTTGGTACAGATGTGCTTACGATTACATCACATTCATTACAAGTTGATGAGAAGAACACACAAGATGTCAGATTCAAGTCTTAGAGCAACAAAGATCTATGGCTTGCAAGGGAGGAGTTTGAGCAATGGCCCATTTGGTCATGTCTGATGGAACGGGCAGAATAGTTGTAAAAAATATTCATTTCCATGCCATGAACCAAATGCCAGGGGGTATCAGACGCCGACTTCTTTTTTCGTTAAACAGTAAACCCATGGTGTCCCTTGAAGATGTTTCATCCCGAATCTTGTGTATTTCCCATAGCTATGAAATCGCTAGTTTAGACAAGGCCGAGCTTGGTGGCAGCAATGTCAAGAGCATCGACATCGGCAGTAAGGCGAGCGAAGGCCTTCTTGGAGCCGTCAGGGCTGTGGGGCACACAAAGTTAGGAACTGGTACAATATTGGGTGTTCATCGTCGAGAAAAACATACCGGATCAAGGTGTTGATCTTGACGGTGTCAATGTCATAGAGCTTCTTAAGAGCCTGCTTGATCTGGGCCTTGTTGGCCTTGACATCGACGATGAAGACGAGGGTGTTCTGCTCCTCGATCTTCTTCAGGGCACCCTCGGTGTTGAGAGGGTGGACGATGACCTTGTGCTCATCGAGACGAGGAGCGTGAGGGATCGACTTGCGGGGGTACTTGGGAGCCCGAGACAGCTGCAGGGTCTTAGGCTGGTGGAAGGTGGTCGAGTGGCGGACCTTGGTGGCCTTGTGCGAGTGCACCTGTGGAGAGAATACCGATCAGTATTCAGTGATTTCATAACACAGGATAGCGAGAGTCGCAAACTTACACCCTTGAGGGCAGCCTTGGCAGCCTTCTGAGCCTGAGCGCCCTTACCGGCCTTGGAGGCACCGCCTATCCAGAGTCCCTCGTCAGCAAAAGCATTCGCCTGGAGCAAGATGATGCCAGAATCTTGTCCAAACTCGCAAAGTCTGCTGCTGCTTTGGTGCATCACCTCGGATGCCATTTCACGACAAAGAGGATCCGCATTGTGCGCGGGGCGAGCATATTTGTCGAGCCGTTCAATTCATTCTTGGGTTGAATCGTCGCTGGTGAGATTTTGAGGTTCGTTCAAGTACCTTTCTTGGTATCCTTAGGGGCCATTGCTGCGATTTCTGCTGTCGTCGGGCTAAGAAGACGGGATTCTCGCTGGTCGTTGTCGGGGAGGAGAAAGTTCAGTTTTTGGCTGAAATTTGGAGGAGGAAAAAGTGTGCGCGCGGCATGCATGTGGCTTAGCCGTGTGGCTGCGGTGGTATTGGCAGGGGTTGAGCTGCGCAAGGTAGCGGGAATGGGCTTTGAGCCACACCAAAATGTCCACTTTCGCGAAATATGCTCCACAATATTTTGAATCTCGAACCTCCGATCGCTTTGTCGCTGCCGCACTCCGTCATTCAACCTCACAGTGATGATGCGCCCTCCAATCCAACTCTCTTCATTTTGCTCGTGGTCTGTCGGATGAAGTCGGCGTAGGAAAACTTGGGTTCTTACAATTCCAAGCCTCGCTTTTCTGTGTTTATCACGACTTCCAGACAAGTGTGTCGTGTAGTTTATTTTGCCAATTGCAGCTTCTCGAAACAACAACCCGAAAACACTCCCTACGAGGACGGATCCCAGTGTTTGAAAACGGATTATCTGAGGCTATCAACCCGGTACACCACAACCCCGCCAAAAGGAATCATGGCGCCCAAGAAAGAAGTGGTCAAGTACCTAGCGGCCGGCCGGCCGCCCACAGCTTCGCGACCCAAGAAGAAGGGAGTCGTCAAGAACCTGGCAGCAGGCCGTCCGCCCACGGCCACGAAACCCAAGTCACTCGCGCGGAAAACCACGAAGTCCATCATCAACAAACTCCATCTTTTGGAGAAGAGGAAAGTGCAAGCTATCAAGAAGGGCGATAGCGCACAGGTCGTGGCAATCGAGGCGGAGATCGAGGCTTTGGGCGGTATCGAGAAGTATCAGGAAGCAAGTCTCCAGGGACAGAGACATGATCGAGGCGGCGACAGTTCCAGCGTGCTTATGGAATGGGTTGGGCCATATTTCTCATCCGAGGAGTACAAGGATGGCCGCTTGCGCATGTTGGAAGTTGGGGCGCTGAGTACAAAGAATGTGTGTGCTCAAAGTAACCATTTCGACATCACTCGGATCGATCTCAATAGCCAGGAGCCCGGGATTCTTGAGCAGGATTTCATGGCGCGCCCTTTGCCCAAGGACGAGTTGGGGAAGTTCGACATTATCAGTCTTTCGTTGGTGCTCAACTTTGTCCCAGATCATAAGGACAGAGGCGAGATGCTTGTCCGCACCACGCAGTTTCTAACATCGCCGAAGCGGTTCTCCGGGACAACCGCTGCCTTCTTCCCAAGTCTGTTCCTTGTGCTACCTGCCCCATGCGTCACCAATTCGCGGTATCTCGACGAGGAAAGGTTAACGGCTATTATGGAATCGATCGGGTACCAGATGGTGGAGTCCAAGACGACCCAAAGGCTGGTATATTACCTGTGGAGGAGAACATCAGATCAGGTCGGACACGACAAGCCGTTTAAAAAGGAAGAGATACGTTCCGGCTCAACACGCAACAATTTTGCCATTACCTTGGTCTGAGGTCTTCGTACAGTCGGAATGCCACCACCACAATCGAGATGAGCCACGACATGTCACAATGGGTCTTTCCACGTTAATGGAATTTGATAGATGGGATGGCCACGACATTGGATTTGAGCCATGCACCAAAGTGTGACCATGGTACTGCTGCGGTTAACGACCAGCTAAGATGCTGGGCCTGACGACCTGGACACGATTTCCGGTCTCCCGACATTTACTTCAGACGGATATATCAACAGCGCTGGGCTAGATCAATGGGAACGGTGTGGGGAATCACGTTAAAAGAGTCCCGTGGCCTCCACGCCGGCGTCAGCATGTGGCGCCTTTGCTGATAGAGCACGGCTGTGGGATCGAAAGCATTGGAGGCGACTACGCGATCGTACGGCAAGAGGAAAGCTGCAGAGGATCTCCTGAACGCGGAGAATTGTGGGCATTGGTGAAACAACTTCCCACTGCCTGAACTCTGCCTCATGCCGTACTGGGTTGAGGCTCATTCTCGAGGCATCGCTTGACTCGGACTGCTCCTCATTCGATGTTGTGAGAGGGGTTGTCTGTGATCTTGACGAGTGTTTCGTCTTCTACGGCGTTAACTGTCCAGCTGTTGGGCGAAGCACGCCCAACGCCTAGGGCGTCCTGGATATACTAACGTGTCGCGGATCAGGAGTCAGGCAGCTGCACCTATCCTTGGAAGCGAAAGCTAGATTCGGTGCGAAACTGCGTTATCCAACTGGGCCATCACGTATCAACTGTGTTATCAACTTGTTTATACGTAATGCGCTCGGGGTGAAATAGACCAGTGGGTTCGCCGGACGCCAGCATACACAGTACCGTCTCGGCCCCGCCGCTCCGCATTTTCCGGCCGGCGCTTCACTACCCGAAACTGCAGATAGGACCAACGTTCACAAACAAATCATCGGGCTTTTTCTTACGCTGTCCACTCTTAGTTCCTTCTCTTCGGACACGCCGTTTCCATCGTGACCTTGGTGCACCATTCTCTGCCAAATCGGCAAACGACTATCAACGCTGGGACGCATGGTTATTGCAGAAGATTATGCATCACCAACACCTCTCGTGAAATCACCAACCAGCCAGTGATCAACACATGGAACCTCTTCGACCCATCTGCCGTCTTGCCCATTCGCTCTCAACCTATCGCCGACCTATCACGACCCCAACAGGCCGAGTCGAGACTTGTCAATCACGGCGCACTACTGCCTACCCCGCAATCAAGAAAACTGGGCTAGGTATTACATAGCCAGCCAGCTGAACTCGACGTCAATGCGCTACAGTCCGTCACCTGTGCACATGGACACACCTCCCGCATCAATGAAGTGGTGATGTGAGGGATGCGGGATGCGTGCTCGGGTTTCATGGAAAAGGCGGTGGGCAAATGTCCTGCATCGTCAGGTAGTTTTCGGCGCCTGATTCCGAGCTCGCCTAACCCAAGTGCAAAAGTCCGGAAGAAAGGACTATTGATACATGGCATTGTGATTGAACATAATCACAGACGAGATGCTGTCCTCTCGAGGCTTCAATGCCCAGTCAAGCGTCTTTGCTTCCTTCTCTGGATGGATCTGAACGCAAGGGGGCCTTTCGACGTCAAATGCGGAGTAAAACTGCCGAGCGACCTATACCATCTCTCATTCGCCAACCTCGGACGACCTGTTTGATAGTCGAAGACCACCACGACTGATAGGTACGTAGGTAGGTAGACATTGGCGTCCCATCATCAGTCCCAACTCCTCTCCGAAACAAAGAGATCAAGTTCCTAGCGGCTTCCTCGGCCCAGTCCATCGGCCAGCTTATCCGCCATAATGCTGCGATGTCCAAAAGAACTCAAGGCTCTGCAGGATTCCCAACATTTCTTTTCCCCTCAACTTGAAACACAACATTCGGTAGAGTTGCATACTGCGTAGGGAGAAGAACAAGTGGCAACTTGTTCATCGGTCGATCCGCTGTAGCTTGACACAAAGCGGTCAATCAACGCAATTCTCATGTCTCTCTTTTTTACATGCCGGTTCTTTCAAACAAAACGTAGCGTCGCAGTAAGCATCGTAGTATTTTCCCTTTCGGGAAAATCTTCATCGATACCTACTGTTTTGGTTACCACGATAACCCAATATGTATCACACCTTCGACCCTTTTCCCATCATCCAGCCACTTATCTGTCTGTCTGTCAGTGCAGCATCAACTAACCGTTTCCAGGCAAGGCTTAGGTAGACTAGAACCAACCATGCAGATCCGGTAACTCGCGCACATTTAGCACTTATCTCGTGATACACCTTGATAGATGGGCAATCCGATCGGCGCCGTCAATGATAGATAGTCTGTCTCTGTGGAGCCCTTTTGACGGTGGCTTTGCTAGTGAAAGTTGGGGAAGCTCTTGGCGATTCCGGCGACTACCTAGTGTACCTCCTCACCTCGAGCTAACCTAACACCGCAGCTCCGCAAAATCGGGGGTGGTTGATAGAACTGGATTTGGGAGTGGTTGATGATCTTCGTGGTGTCAGCTTGATTCTGGATTTCCAGTGAAGTGAACAAATATGCCACTAATAGTGCTGCGGGACTGTCCGTTTGTCAGTTGTGTCAATCCTTGGGTTTTGTGGATTGTTTGAGTTCAGATAGGACACTTGATGACTATCAAAGGGTTCAAGATGAAATGAAATGGTCGTTGGTTTGGATGATGCCTTATCCGCATCGTGATGTTTCACGCAGTTCGCCATTCTGAATGGTATTGAATGCCCGGCCGATATAGCCGCTTCTCTGGGAGTAGGAAATAGATAGATCAACAAGCTAAGGGATATATCCCACCAACACGGCCAATCTCATCCTATTTCGCCTGCAGCTTGAAGATCCAGAGCCAAATTCGCTTCGGAGCCGGTAATTATGGTTATGTTTAAGCCCGAATGACATGAAACCCTCAAAAAGGTCACCGAAGAATGTAGTTAGCAAACCTGTACCAACTGTCACGGAGTACGGCTTAGTCGTCCCCGTCAACCTATTACTTCTAAAAGTGAAACTAGAGGAACCAAATAGAGCACCAAATTGCTCTTCAAACGGTTATGGCTTTCCTAATATCAGTCACGTGGACTGTGATACGTTTACCCCAAAGTAAACGGCCCTTTCACTTCTAACCTCTCTCTATATATGTCTGGTCACACTTAGTTGATGTACCAATCTCATCGTATCGTGTTGTATCGTCTCGTGTATCGTACGTTGTGAGACGGCCACGCTACATACTTGATACATAGATCGAGAAGCCAATTCCCTCAGACTCGAAAGATCCAATTCGATTTTCGTCAATACCTTAGCTTTACGTAGGTAGCTGCTTGTGCTACATTCAAGAAAGTGGAAGGTACTACTTAGCTGGAGGTAGATAATGGAAGGTATGTCTGCGGTGTAATACAGAAATCCAAATGTGGAAAGAGCTACCCACCCATCCACTCTTGAAGTACAATTGAAGCCCGTCAACTTAACGTGAATGATGGAATGTGCGGTAAACATTTGCGTAACGGCAATACTTCGGAGTTCGCCGTAGATTGCATATCTGTGATTATAAGAGTGTAGTCTAGATTGTCTGAGATTCTTGTCTCTACTGTGGTGGAACGACGTCTGTCTGTCTGTCTGCTTGTGGCGTAAATGGAGAAACTTGGTAAACCTTGCTAGCGAATGCAATGGTGAGATGCAGGATGCCGTTATGCAATTTCTTTTTTCTTGACTGATGATTTCGTGTTCTAAGGAAAGGATGTTTACTGCTTGCCTCATTCACAAAGGAGCGAATGATTTAGGAGTTTGGTGAGGTTGATGAGGTTGATGAGGTTGGTTCGATAACATTAAGATGGCTTGCTCAAAGATCAGCGAGTTTGGGGAAATGGCTGGCTTTTCGATACTAGATGGCTATCTATGTCCTCAAAGATCACCAATCTCCTCAAAACTCTTGACAACCCTATGCTCCTTCCTCGCCTCCTCCGACAACTCGGCGTTACCAGGCCTATCAACGATATAGCTCTGCATACCAGCTTGCTTGGCGGCCTCAACCTCCTTGACATTGTCACTCAGGAATAGCCACTCGCCAATGGGATACTCCTGGTGCTTAGCCGCAATCTTCTCGTAGCTAGCCTTCTCCTGCTTCGGCCCGGCGTTGACGGTATCAAAGAAGTCCGAGAGCCAGGGCAGGATATCGGACGGCTCGCCGTTGGTGTGTCCAAACAGGAGCTTCTGGGCCGGTACGGAGCCGGACGAGTAGATCATGACCTTGGCACCATTGTGCTCCCGCCAACGGGCCAGCTGCGGCGCCACATCGGCGAACAGCGGAGCCTTGAGCTCGCCGTTGCGGTAACCCGTCTCCCACAGGTAGCCCTGGAGGCTCTTGAGGTACGAGATCTTGAGATCCTTGCTCATGAGATCGCGGACGTGCGCCGCGAGGGTTTCCTGGGAGCCGGCATGCTCCGCGGGGAAGGCGGCGCGGTAGGAGGCGAACCCGGGTGAGTCCCACTTGGCCTTCAAGGTGCCCGGGAGAGCTTCAAGGGCGTAGGGGAACTATAACTCGTAGACCGGCGAGATGCGGTTGCTGTCAGTTCATCCTGCTTGTCTTGTCTCACTGGACTATGTTGTGACTCTCTTGTGACGTTTCCCACAAAAAGAACACACAGCTTTACGCGCTTGCTTGCTTGCTTCCCCCTCGATCGTATCGTGAATAGCCAGCCAATCGGGTTCATGATCGAAGTCCTGCACCGAGCCTATTGAAAGGGTAGGGGAGGGGAAGGGACAGGAAGGGTGGAACAAGAGAGAACACAAGAAGGGGGTTGCAGCAGCAGCAAAGAGGCACTGCTGTTACCTTGCTGCTGTGGAACACTGCCAAACCGCAAAGGAAACGGGCTGGCGGCAGAGAGAGAGAAGAGGATAGGATGGGCAATGAGGGGCAGGAGAAAAGGATCAGGATACGTGTGGTGTGGTTACCCGCATGCAACAGAGGCACTGGGCTGGGCCGGCCCAAGGAG